TTTTTTTTTTCCTACCTAAGCTGATAGCCTTGAGAGGCTATGTCAGCGTAACCCTAACTTTAGTAGGTGAGCTCACGGGGCTCAAACCTGACGATGTTGCTAACACGAACCCTAGCAAGAGCCGTGCTTCGCAGAATCTACCACCGGATCGGAAACGCGACCCACTGAGAAGATCCGGGGAGAAACTCAGTGGGCTGTGTCTGAGAGTTAATTTACTCGTCGAGCCCTTCGACGCAAGCGTCGGGTTCGACGAGAACGGTGACCGGTGCTTGAAGTACCTAAAAGCACCGTTAGTGGATCGGGAGGATCCGAGATGACGTGTTTTGGGCGACGTCGACTGCTTTCCATTCTGTCCGCAGGATCGGGAATGAAAACTTTCGGTTTGAAGAGTCGTTGTCCAATATAATAGAAATATAGACTTATTTTCAAGGTCAGCAAACCTAATATCAGGTGGGTGGCGAGCACGGCCGCTCATTCACATAAAATTAAATGAAAAAGTTGATTGAACTAAAACTTACGTACCTATGAAAATAAGAAACGTTCATCAATATTGCGAATTTTGGTTCGTCTTTTTACTTATTTATATATTTTTTATTGCTTAGATGGGTGGACGAGCTCACAGCCCACCTGGTGTTAAGTGTTTACTGGAGCCCATAGACATCTACAAAGTAAATGCGCCACCCATCTTGAGATATAAGTTCTAAGGTGTCAGTATAGTTACAACGGCTGCCCTAAACCGAAACGCATTACTGCTTCACGGCAGAAATAGACAGGGTGTTGGTACCTATACGTGCGGACTTACAAGAGATTCTACTACCAGTAATTACGCAAATTATAATACGAACCTATTCCTACTGGGTGATTGTATTGTAGACCACGGGGTTACCGCTATCGCTGATGCGACGTTTCAAGACACCCGATTGATCTAAAATTGAATGTGAAGTAAAATCGCCAGACTTTACAGCTAGCCATTAGCTGGTACATATTTTGTATTTATTATATTCACTATTTGGGTACTTATAGGGTGTCTTGTGAGCTCTGAAGGGTAGATACCATTACCTATTTCTGCCGTAAAGCCGTCTATGCAATAAATATTTTATTTTAAAGATTTGAAGATGGTCTATAAATTCATTAGTAAAAGTTTCATTTAATTTAAGATAAAATGTTTATCTAACGGCATGCCTTACAATCTCAATCATGTAATCAATCTATTACAATGTAGGTAATTGAGTATTTCAATATTTACATAAGGCAACCGAGTTCAATCGTCCTTGGATTGCGAAACAACACAATGTATTTAAATTATACGAATGTCGGTTAACAATGTACTTTATGTGCTTGTATATAAAGTTGAGTCTTGAAAAGATAAAACTGGATAATTGCGTGTCCGATTAGGTACATATAACGTATTGTTCCGTTGTTGGAATTCACGATTGATGTTCGAAAGTAATTTTATAATTTGTAACCCTTATGCGAACATAAACTGTACCTTATATACGCTATTACGTAAGGGTTTTTTACCACGGTCTTAAATTAACCAATAGATAGACACAGCTCACTGAGTTTCTCGCTGGATCTTCTCAGTGGGTCGCGTTTCCGATCCGGTGATAGATTCTGCGAAGCACTGCTCTTGCTAGGGCCAGTGTTAGCAACACCTCCGGTTCGAGCCCCGAGAGCTCACCTACTCACTCGGTGAATCTAGTATGACCCCTCGAGGCCACTAGAATAGGTAGGAAAAAAAGAAAAAAGTCTTCATTTAAAATTATTTTATAGATTTAGATTTCATTGAGCAATCAGCTGTTTAATAAACTCTTCTGCTACATATAGATACTGCTTACTATTCGAACATTTTATTTAAATAAATCAAGATAGGTACAATAAACACACTAGGGCAACGCTGATATAGCCTCACTAGGCTATCAGCATAGGTAGGAAAGAAAAACAATAGGTGTCAGCGTGCTGCTTTTCCGAATATCACAATTAAATGTCAGGCGGCTCAGAATAGTCTCGCTTAGTTTAGAATCATTATTTCGTGCT